TTTTTGGTTTTTCGAGACAGGGTTTCTCTGTGGCTTTGGAGCCTGACCTGGAACTAGCTTTGTAGACCAGGCTGGTCTCGAACTCACAGAGATCCGCCTGCATAAACAAAGTTTTTAAGAAAAGAAAAGAAAAAAAAACAACCCAAGGCTGCCAGTGAGAACTCCAGTAATGTTGTGGTGCTGCTGCCCATGACTGATCGATCTCCAAGCAGGCCATTCACAGATGCTCATGGTGGCTCCCCACAGCCAGCAGGTGAGGTGGGCAGGGTGCACATCGTGAGCATTTCACAGAGGAGGAAATACCTGGGAAGCGTCAGTACTTACCTGGAGTTCCGAAGCAGTAAGTGTTGGAGCCTGGATTCAAAACTAGGTGTATGGGGCTAAAGAAATGGCTTTGTGGGAGGAGTGTTGGCTGCTCTTGAAAAGGACCCAGGTTTGTTTCCTGATGCTTACATGGTAACTCACAACCACCTGTAACTCTAGTTCTGAGGGATCCAGCATCACCTGGCCTGGGGACTCTGTAGGCTCCTGGACATACACAGTGCACCAACTTATGCAGGCACACTCACAGAGAGAAAACTAGGCATGTTGTCAAATTTAGGGTATAAACACACACATATAAAGTGATAAGTCATCTGTTGTCAAACTTAGGGTAAAGGAAAAGCAAGGTCCAGGCATGGATGAGTATGGGTAAGTTGTGGGAAGGGCTCGTCCTGGGCCAGGACCAGGGTTGTGGGTTAAAGTGCTCTAACTCTAGACTGGGCTCTTACCTGTTCCAGGCCCTGGCCACTGCGTGCTGGTCTGTCCTGAAAGCCAAGAGGAGGCTTCTGATGGTGAGTGATTAGTGAGACCCCTTGGGAGCTCTACTGAGTCCTAAGCGGCCAGGACTCCCCGACTAGAAGGGATAGGTGCAGCAGAGCCCCCCACTCCTCACCAACCACCCATCCTGCCACTGTACCCCGCTTGGCCAGGTGCCCCCAGAGGGCATGTAGCTCTACCCTTGGGAGCTCTTCCCTTGGGAGCAGCCGTCATATCCCAGGACTGAGCAGAGGAGGACACTGGCGGGGGAGAGAGGGTGCACACGAGTGGCCAGTGCCCATAGGAGTCAGGGAGCAGGCAGATGGCATCTGCACCCTGGATGGAGTAGCTGATTGGTCCCCGTGGCTGCCAGGTTCTACTGCCCAGTCAGCACCAATTGCCATGGCTAGTGCTTTCTTTCGGGAGACTTTGCCCATTACGACCTGCATGGGGCAGCTCTCAGAAATGTCTGCTAGCCCTTTCTGTAGATCTGAAAACCAGGGCTGTACAGGCCCCCCCTGCTTACCTAGGGTCAGCTAGCCAGGACCCAGGGCCTTTAAATGATCCTTGATCCCCAGCCCTGCCACTCACTATAGGTGCCTGATGGCTTCATCTCCCATTTCTACTCCGTATCGGAGCATGTCAGTCCTGTGCTGGCATTTGGCTTCCTCGGACCCAAGCCCCAGCTCGCGGAAGTCTGTGCTTTCTTCAAGGTACGTGACAACGACCCCTGCTTCCCTACTCCTGATACATGCACCCTCTCGGTGCCAGAAGAGGGGTGGGGCGCTGGGCTGTTCAAGTTGAGGATGTAGGAGCCCCAGGAAGGCAGGGCCTGAGACAGGGAGGGTGGGCTGGGGCTTCGTCACTGAGAAAGGACTTTGTAGGACGTAGAAAATGTCACAGGACCAGGCCCAACACCAGTCTCCTACCTCAGCACCAGATTGTGCAGTACCTGAGGGATATGTTCGACCTGGACAACGTGCGCTACACATCGGTGCCAGCCCTAGCAGACGACATCCTGCAGTTATCCCGGCGCCGCAGCGAGATCCTGTTGGGCTACCTGGGGGCGCCAGTGGCTAGTAGCACTGGGCTGAATGGGCCAGTACCTCGAGAGAATGGGCCCCTGGAAGAGCTGCAGTAATGGGAACACAGCCTGAGGGGAGAGGTGGCTGCTTGAGCCTCATTCACAAGGGTGATGGGAGAGAAAAGGCTGCCCTTCCCTTCCTTCCGGTTGGCATCCAAGGGTCAGGGTGGCCAAGGGCCATTGTCCCTGAGCCTGCTATGCCTGCTCATCTGGGAATCCCAACACCTGGAGGACAAATTTCCATGGAAAGGAACCACTAGGAGCCTATCCAGATGCCCTCGGGGTTGCCTGGGCAGCAGGGGCAGGCCAGGGACAGCAAGGTGTGACAAGGGGAAGACCTGAGAAGAAGGTGTAGAGATATGGACCACAGAGCCCCAGTCCCCTCTGGGCTGCAGACAGAGGGCAAGGAGGTGTCGGTGAGGGATAAGACATGAGGACTATATGGTGACAGTCACAGGGTCCTGGAGTAGGAGCCAGCACCAAGGCTTCTGGTCAGTATGGAAAGCCCCATCTGGGCCATCCAGAGGTGAGCTCACCCCACCCGTGCTCCCTTCAGAAACCCAGGCACCAACTCAGGACCCTGTCCTCCCTCATTCCCATGCCCTGCCAAAGACTCAGTTTTTATCCCACCTCTGCCACCACCAAAGATGGAGGAGGTGGGACTGGGCACATCCCACTTCCCTGTGAGCCTGGAACTCCCTGGGCAGTGCTAGGCTCCAGCTGAGGGCTCTAAGCAGAGCTCACAAAGGCTTACCATCTGCTGCTCTAGAAGTGAGGGCCTGGGAACCATGGCAGGGAGGCAGGGTCAGACTCCCCCCCCACCCCCCCCAACAAGAAGCGGACTCAGCATTTTGCCTTTAACTCCATGCACACGGACTTTGGGGCTGCCCAGCAGCATAGTGCCCACCTCAGGGCTGCTGCCACCCAGGGTCCCACAGACAGCTCTGCAAGCATTGTCATGGCAGCTGCAGGGGTCCTGGGAGCCCTCTCCTTTATCCCGAGCTGGGAAGTTTTTATTTATTGCCTTAACACTTTATTTGGGTGTTCTGCTCCTTTCAGGTTGTGAGACCTACAGGAGATGAGACTCCTGTCTGGTCTGGGGTTGAGCATGGGCTCCTGGGACCCAGTCCATCCCAGGGTCGGGAGGACATAGTGAGGAGAGGGTGGGAGGGTGACCTATGCCCTGTGCTCAGGAGCAGCCCTCCCTCCGCACTCAGTCTGACATTCCTTTCATTTGCACTTACTGAGCTGTGAGTGAGCCCTGGCCCAGGCCCACCCTTATTGCCCCTGAACCTCACAGCGGTGGCATTTCATCTGTCCTTGTTCACGTGTCCCGCACTGCCCTCTAGCACTCGATTTGTCTACTTCTAAACCCCATGAAGAGCGTGTGCAATGACTGTGCATCAGATAAACGACGGAAACGGCCTCTCCTGCGTCTTCCTGGGTGTAGGGCCGGGCTGGGGTGGAGCAGTAACTGGAGTTACGGTGTGGTGATTGTGATGTGGGCTATGAACACTCTTGCAGCCATGTGACAGCATGACAGGGTCTCTGGGTCCCCAAGATGGCAAGGTACAGATGTGAGATAGGTGGCCTGCACTTCTGCATTGCACCCAGACAGGGGTTGAGGTGGCCCAGGTGACCACAGCCCATCAGATCTTCACATGTCTTCATGGGCATCTGTCTGAGGGTGACTGTAGCTGTGAGGAAGCACCATGACCAAAAGCAGTGAGGGCGGGAACCTGGAGGCAAGAGCTGATGCAGGGGCCATTGGTGGATACTCTAGATGTTCCTTACCGGCTTGCTCAGCCTGCCTTTGTATGGAACCAAGAACTACCAGCCCGGGGATGGCCCCACCAACAATGGGCTGGGCCCTTCAAGCCCATCAATCACTAAGAAAATGCCCTAACAGCTCACCTACAGCCCTGTATGGAGGCGTTTTCTCAGTTGAGCTCCCTCCTCTCTGATGACTCCAGCTTGTGTAAAGTTGACAAAACCCGCCAATAGGTGATGATCGCTCATGCTTTTAATCCTAGCACTCAGGCAGACGCAGGAGGATCTCTATGGGTGTGAGGCCGGCCTGGTCTACACAGTAAGTTCAGGCCAGCCAGGGCTGGGGACTGGGCGTGGACTAGATGCCTCAAGCAGGTCAAGTGCTAGCTGTGGGCATTGAGTCCCCAGCACCCGGAAAAGGCAGGCACCGTGGCAGCAAAATCGTAACGGGGGTAGAGACGGGAGGATCCTTAGGGCCTTGAAGACTAGCCAGTTTAGCTGAATCACAAATCTGGGTTCAGTGAGCAATCCTGCATTAAAACAAGTCAAGACTGATGATAAAGGAAGACATTCGGTATTGACCTTTGGCCTCATCTGTACAACATATGCACATACACGCAGGGAACTTAGGGTCTCTGTAGCCAGAATTTTATTTTTTCCTTCCTTCCTTCCTTCCTTCCTTCCTTCCTTCCTTCCTTCCTTCCTTCCTTCCTTCCTTCCTTCCTCCCTCCCTCCCTCCCTCCCTCCCTCCCTCCCTCCTTTCCTTCCTTTCTTTTTTTGAGACAGGATCTATGTAGCCCTGAATGTTCTAGTCCTTGCTATGTAGACCAGGTTGATCTTGAACTCAGGGAGATCTGCTTGGCTCTGCATCTGAAGGGGGGTGTGTGGCAGAGCACCTGGCCAGCATTCACAGAACCCTGAATTCAATCCCTAGCACTGCACCAGCGTATTGTTCAAAAACCAACAAAGTACTCTGCAAAACCAACACCTTTAGTTGGCATCAACATTCTTCCATGTTCGCTTTCTGTTTCCTCTCCGAGGTACATAGAGCAAGCTTCAGACATGAATTTCTTTGATAAGCACTTCAGCCAGCAGATCTTTAAGGCAGTGTTCCGGTAAGAGTGTTAGCGTCACAGTTGTCCCTAAAGCCCAGCAATTCTGTTGTGCCCGCGCTGGAGCCCTGGCGTGCCCGCGCTGGAGCCCTGGCATGGCTTGACTCTAACCTTATTTGAAAATGATGTGGGTCTGGTCGCACAGTTTGCAATCCTGGGGAAAGGAGAGAGATTTGTCTTGGAGATCAGAAGGGCAAAACCATCTCTGGCTACACAGAGTTCAAGGCCAGCCTGAGCTTCAAGAGACCCTGTCTCAAAAAGGGACAGATGAAGTGTGCACACACTTAGAATCCTAGCACTCAGGTAGAGAGGAGGACAATCAGGAGTCCAAGGCCACCCCTGGGCTACAGAATTGCAGGCTCGTCTGGCTCTACATGAGACCCTCTCAAAAGGGAGAAGCAGAACAGGGCAGGGGATGTGGCTCAGCTAGTGGAATCGAACACGTAGGAAGCCTGGGTTCAGTTTCAGTAGAGCCACCTAAGCTGGGTATGGTGGCACACATCTGTGGGGTCGGCTGTGGAGGTGGGAACAGGAGGTTGCCCTCAGCGCCATAGCAAGTTTAAGGCCAGCTGGGATGCCGGAGAAGTCGTCTCAAACAAATAATGGAAGGGTCCATGCTTGCGCCCCCTCCAGGCCCTCTAGAGTGTAAGCTGTGACATGTCACTCCAGTTCTGGCAAGTAAGTGGGTTTTAAACAAGGCCAGTGGTTTAAGCAGTCTTGTTGGGGTGTACTTTGTCCCCCATAAATGCATTTCCTTGAGGGTTTCAATAAGGATTACCCACTCCTGTGATATACTTCAAAACATTTCTGTCACTGTCGTGTGCTCTCCGGGCTGCCCCCAGCTCTCTCCACTCCTTGCTTTTTATGGACCGTTCCTGAGAATTGGACCTTGTCATAGGTGGTCTTTTAGTTGGTGCTTCCTCTGGTAGAATAATGTTCTTGAGAGTAATTCATTTTTTTTGTTTGTTTGTTTGTTTTTCGAGACAGGGTTTCTCTGTGGCTTTGGAGCCTGTCCTGGAACTAGCTCTGTAGACCAGGCTGTTCTTGAACTCACAGAGATCCGCCTGTCTCTGCCTCCCAGTGCTGGGATTAAAGGCGTGTGCCACCATCGCCCTGTGAGTAATTCATTTTGTACTGGGGATCCAGACCTCATGTATGCTGAGCAGGTACTGTACCAGTGGAGCTACGCCCACTTCCCTGGTTTGTTGTTTGCTAGATTTATTTTAAAGTGCATGTGTGCGTGCATGCGCACACTTCTAATGCTATGGTGAAGCACCATGACCAAAGCAACTTGGGGAGGAAAAGGTTTATTTGGCTAACATTTCCACATCATAGTCCATTAGTGAAGGAAGTCAGGGCAGGAACCTGAAGGCGGGAGCTGGTGCAGAGGCCATGGAGGGTGCCGCTTACTGGCTTGTTCCTCATGGCTTGCTTAACCTGCTTTCTTATAGAACCCAAGTTCACCAGCCTAGGGATGGCACCAGGCACAATGAGCTGGGCCCTCCCACATTGATCATTAATTAAAAAGATGTCCAACAGGTTTGCCTACAACCCTATCTTATGGAGGCCTTTTTGGGGGTTGTGTAGTTTCGTTTTTTGAGACAGTTTCTCTCTGTAACAGATCTGGCAGTCCTGGAACTTGTTCTGTAGAGCAGGCTGGCCTCAGACTCACAGAGATCCACCTATCTCTGCCTCCTAAGTGCTGGGATTAAAGGTGTGTACCACCACGGTCCAGGCTGGAGGCATTTTCTTAATCAAAGTTCCCCCTCTCAGATGACTTTAGCTTGTGTCAAATTGACATAAAACTACCCAGAAAAGTGTGTGTGTGTGCGCGCGCACAAGAGTTCAGGTGCCCACAGATGAAAGAAGAGTCAGATGCCCCTAGAGCTGGAGTTACAGACTGTTGTGACCGGCTTGATGTGGGAATAAACTCTGAAAAGACCAGTACACACCCTTAACCATGGGCCATCTCTCCAGGCCCTGGTTTGGTTTTCTGAGGCAGGGTCTTGCTCTGTGCTGTAAACAGACTTTGAAATCCATCCTCTTGTCCCCTGTGCACCAACCACACCCAGTTGGTGTCTTTAACTTCACAATCTTGGGGCTCCACAGCCTCCATGGAATTCAGTTCCTTTGAGGGCCAGGGCAGCGCCCAATCTGACTGCATTCTTTATTTATACTGGGGAGTGGCTCATGTCCTGTCACTGGTAGGGGCTCAAGCATTTCCAAAAATAAATGACCTTCGATCCTGAGGGCAGCTAGCTCTCAGCTGGCTTTGTACATTCTAATTTCAATGTCACCACCCTGCTACTGCCTCCAGAGGATGAGCTAGAGATGACAGCTTCTGTCCTGAGACCTGTGGCTACAGGGATGCCTGGCTCTTGGCTTTGGAAAGGGCTCTGGGGCAGGCAGGCAGCATTTTGGTTCTAAAAAGGCAGGGTGGTCTTGAACCTGTCAGGCAGCCCTGGGCACCAGTCCCTACTCTGCTCTGTTGCAGGATATTTGATCACACTGTGAACCCCAAAATAGTGTTGTTTACTGGGAAAACCTGTTTCTAGTTAGTGTGGCTCAGCCCTAGGACACACCTTTAATCCAAGAGCTCTGTGTTTGAATATTGTAAACAGGATTAAATAAAGTCAACCACAAGTCTAAAGGCAGAGCAAGCGAGGGAGTAGAGGAAGTCAGGAGGACTGCTAGAGACATTCAGTTTGAGGAATTTTGCTTGAGATGGTGTAGGAGAAAGGCCCTTTTTCTGGGATGTCCGTGGAAGAGGAAGGTCAGCTGGGTGCTTTCTCTGCCTCTCTGAGCCAGCAGGATTTCACCCTAGCCACTGGCTCCCAAGTCCTTATTGGTAAAATTGAAGGTTTGAGATTTTGTATAAAAACAACACTGCTACCTGGCGGTGGTGGCACACACCTTTAATCCCAGCACTTGGGAGGCAGAGGCAGGCGGATCTCAGCGAGTTCGAGGCCAGCCTGGTCTACAAGAGCTAGTTCCAGGACAGGAATCAAAAGCTACGGAGAAACCCTGTCTGGAAAAAAAAAAAGAAAAGAAAAGAAAAAGAAAAAAAAACCCTGCTACATAGTGGCCCCGTGCCTGTGGCAGACGGCTGGAGGATGCACTGAATCTTTCTGCTTCCATCCCTAAACTGGACACATGAAGATCTGCCTGGCAAGCCAAGCACTATAATCCCACTATAATATAAGTGGAGCATGCCTATAATCCCAGCACAGTGGAGGAGGCTCAGTACTTCAAAGCCACCCTGGTGAGTTCAAGACCGGCCCGGGCTACATGAGACCCAGTCAACAAACAAACAGAAACAACTGGAGGGATGGTTCAATAGTTGAGAGGTGCTTTCTCAGAGGACCTGGGTTTGATTCCCAGTATCCACTGGCAACTCACAAGGATCTGTAACCACAGTTCCAGGGAAAAAAATCTGATGCCCTCTTCTGGTCTCCACAGGCATTGCATGCACATAGTATATAGACACACACAGTATATAGACACACACCATACATATAAAATAAGAATGAGCAAAATAAGCGTTGTCTCTTAGGGCTGCTGTGACTGGAATAAGGGACTAAGAAGGAGCATCTTTTTTTTCTTTCTAAATTTACTTATCATGTATACAGTGTTCTGAGTGCATGAATGTCCACACACCAGAAGAGGGCACCAGATCTCATTATAGATGGCTGTGAGTCACCATGTGGTGGTTGGGAACTGAACTCAGGACCTCTGGAAGAGCAGCCAGTGTTCTTAACCATTGAGCCACCTCTCCAGTCCAGGAGAAGTATCTTATGGGTTACTCAGAAGGATTTCAGATGCCATTGGTCTAACTCTCCTCTCAGAGGGAGAAGTGGGAGGCAGAGCACCTCATCTATAGCGGGTCTAACATTGTCACCTCTGCCATGTCAGGGGACCCTGCAGTGTCTCAGCAACACACTCAGGCACACCAAAGATACCAATGGGTTTACCGACCTCTCTAGACCCATATGGGAACCTGAGCTCAGCCCACACTTGAGATGGCTGCCCTGGTCCCACACGTCATCCAGGAGTCAAATGGGAAGTAAACTAGTAGTTCGCACCGGAGACAGCACACAGCAAGGCCAGGTGAGAGCATGAACAACTCCCAGGCAGTGCCCAGTGGGAGAAGCCGAACGTGCAAAGCATGGTTTTACTTACAGCAGATGCAAACCCAAGCATGCCGCGTGTAGCATTAAATGTCACCCAGAGTGGCTGCACAGGCCACCCCTCTCTGGGGAAACCTTTTTTTTTTTTTTTTGAGACATGGTTTGGTTTCTCTGTGTAGCCTTGGCTGTCCCAGAATTTGCTTTGTAGAGCAGGCTAGCCTCGAACTCACAGAGATCCCAGAGATCCACCTACCTCTGTCCCCCAAGTGCTGGGATTAAAGGTGTGCACTACCACTGCCAAACTATCTGGGGGACTCTTACACAATTATGTTTAGCTTCTGAAACACAATGACCTATATCCATCTGGTTTCTGGAACTTTCTGTAAGAATGTCATATATGCTCATATATATGGCTGATTTTGCACTCCGACTCCTCCTGCCTTAGCTTCCCAGGTGAAGAGATTATGAGTGTATACCACCAGGACTAGCATCAAAGTCACATTCACACACAAATTGGCTTTCAGTTTGTATTTTTTTCCATCTATTTTTGAGGCGGATTTTCATGTATCCCAAGACCTCACTACTTGGCCTGAGAATGACCTTGAACTCCCAGGCCTCCTGCCTCCTGGGCTTACAGGATGCTCCATCTGACCCATCCTTTCTTTTCTGAGACAAAGTCTCATTCTGTAGATCAAGTCTTTGGACCTTTCTATGCAGCATGGCCTAGAATTCCAACCTCCTTCCTCTGCCTCTCAGGCACTATACTTTTAGGACAAGCCAACCAGTTAAATACTTTCATAAAGAATTAGCAAAAGTGGGGGCTGGAAAGATGGCTCAGAGGGTAAGAGCACTGGCTGTTCTTCCAGAGGTCCTGAGTTCCCAGTAACCACATGGTGGCTCACAAACATCTCTAGTGGGATCTGGTGCCCTCTTCTGGTGTGCAGGAATACACTGTATACATAATATATAAATAGATCCTTTAAAAAATTAGTAAAAGCAGGCTGGGTGTAGTGGCACACACCTTTAGCTTCAACACTTGGGAGGCAGAGGCAGGCAGGTCTCCGAGTTCAAGATCAGCCTTCATATCATCTACATAATGAGTTCGAGTTCCAGGCCAGCCAAGATTACATAGTAAGACCCTGCCTTTAAAAAGGAAGGAAGGAAGGAAGAAAAAAAAAAAGCAAAGCAACTTATCTAGAGGGCACCATGCCGGCCCTCAGCGCCTCAGTGGTCCAGCTCACCTCCCCCAGCATCCTGGTTCCACAGCCAGGCTGGGCCACAAGACAGTGATATGTGCTCTCTTCTGCCAGAAACTCACCCCGTAACTCCCACATTTCTTCAGTTCCTCACTCGTCACTTCCTCAGGACCACTCTCCCTGTGTGCCAGGGACTTTGCCTCTGTGGGCCTGTGGAGGAGGGGCTAGGCAGCTTGACGGCCCACAGCGCCCTGTCTCAGAGAACTGTTTAGGAAGCTCACAGTCATTCTTCACACCTTTCTCTCAGAGGCTAAAAATGGCAGCGCCTGAGAGCGCTAAGGGCAGGTGACAAAGAGGTGAGGCCAGCTGACCCAGACAAGTTCAGGCTGGGCTGTGGAGGTGGGGGGGGGAGCTGAAACAGCTGGGGGCAGGGGTTTCCTGATCTCCCCAGCCTACTCAGACTAACCTCGGGCCTGGCTTCTGCAGTCTGCCAAACTACACCACTCTAGCGAATGACCGCTTTGCTGTATTCCCACTCCACCTCCCAAGTACCATCTTATTCATTGAATATGTTTTCTAGGTCATCTATCAGGTACTCGTACTATGACATTTATCAAATACGCGACAGGTCTGTCTGGGTTGGGCCAGGTTTTGGATGTAAGCTGCCTATTTTTTTTTTCAGGTGGAGTTACAATCACTTGTATCAGATCTACTGGGTTGACCCAGGCCCCAGACAGATCCAGGAACCTGCCTTTTTATTGTACGTGCTGCAATGCTCAGGTCAGGGAACCATTGTCTTCTGGCAGAGACAGACAAGGAAATAGTTACCGTGTCTTGTAATGCAGCAGAGACGAGGCAGGCAAAGTGGGTTCAACTGTAGGAGAGCACTGGAGACCCCCTCTGGTTTTTTGTTTGTTTGTTTTTTGAGGCAGCCCACAGTGGTCTCGAATTCACAGAGATCTTCTGGCTTCTCTTAACCTTGGGAACCTGTAAGTATGAACTGACAAACCAGACTGAGCCAGGAAATGGGGCAGGAGTGTGTGTGCCCACCCCAAGCAGAGGAACGGCATAGGTAAAGGCTTGGAGACAGAATAACTGGCATAGACTGTGGGTGGGAGGTGTGGCTGCTTCCTCAAGAATGTTTTGGAAAAACAGAGACGGGTACATGGAACATCTGGACTTACTAAAAATATTCCCAAGTGGCCTTACTTACTACATAGCGTAATTGATGGAACCAGTAGCATTCCATCTAAAACGCCTCGTATGTGCTCCGTCCCAGGAGTTAACAAAAAGGCTCCTTTGCAGACCTGTGCCTCCTGTATGTCAGTTAAAGGCAGAAAAATTTCGCTCTAGGTCTTTTGCTTCAATTTGTTAATGGGCTGGAATGGTGAGGCAAAACAATGCTAAGAGAAGCCTGGGCTTCACAGTGACACACTCACTTTTGTTTTCAAAATGGGTCGATTCAGACCCGATGGTGCTGAGGCTCCCTTTCCACCGGGATCAGGGTTGCGCGAAGCCTTTACTCTGGGAGCAGGTGCCAGCAGAACCAAAGCTCCCACCAAAGCACAACACGGCCCCCGAGATAAGGCCTGATTGGCTAGTCCTGTGCACACTCCGACCCAGGCTTACCTTTTGATTGGCTGTTCTGCACTCTGTCCTGCGATGGAGCCCTCCGTTCTCCTGATTGGCTAGATAACTACCTGCGCTCGCCCAGGATTGGACACTGGCAAAGCTGCGAGGGTCCCCGCTCTCTGATTCGCCGCGCGGCCCAGCCTCACGGCCTGCACCCTGAATGGCTGCGCCACTACCTGCAATCGGCCTCGGATTGGGTGCGTGGCGCCTCCCCGGCGTGATAGGTCAGGACCACCGCCCCCCTTGCTCCCCATTGGTTGCTCGGCCAAGCCCGGTCTCCGGGTAAGATGGCAGCGGACGGACAGTGCTCGCTCCCCGCTTCATGGCTGCCGGTGACCCTCACCCACGTCGAATACCCTACAGGTAAGAAGCGGCCCCGGGCCGGAGGACGATCTCCGGGAGCCGGCACCCCAGCCCGGGGCGCTTTGGGCCGCGTGGGCCGGCCTGGGGCGCAGGAGGACCGCGATGGGAACTGTCAAACAGCGAGCCATGGAGGGGCTCGGCCGGCGCGCGCGCCGCGCAGGCGCAGTGAAACGGCGATGAGCTGGGCGAAATTGTGAGCGCCTGGCTTGTGCACTCTGCGGCTGCGCGGCCAAGTCGCTCTCCGGGGTCCCGGGGTGCTAGTGGACTGTCCTGGGCCAGAGGTCTGGGTGGGGCGGGCAAGGATCTGGTCCTGGACCTTGTCCCTTGTGCCCCGCCCTCTCCTGAGCCAGAGAGGCCGCACTCCTGCTCGGGCGTGCAGGGAGTTGCCAGTTTCCTTCACTGTGCTGAGGGCTGCTTGCTGGAGAAAGCTCGCTGCTTCAGGGAGCCTTCAAAACTAGGCCAGGTTTGGGAGGGTTTTTGGCGCCACGCCCTGAGCAGCGGGGCAGAGGCTAGCCACCCAGGGGCCACAGAGCCCCCGGAGCTTGACTTGTCTGAGCTTCTATCCGACACGCCTCTGGGAGTGCCCGCCTCTCTGGTGGGAAGGTCCATTAGCCACGGTTCTGAAGTTCCGGCTCCGTAGAGAGTGGTACGGAGCTTAGGCCTTGGCTGAGACGTTTCCCTGGGGGGGGGGGGGGGGGGGGGG